GTGAGTTTAAGCCACCGGATCCAGGACTCAAACTGCAGTTGACTACATGTGAGTCCAATGACATAGCCTTTATGCTACCTGCTAATCCCAAGGTGATGTGGTGGTTAAGGGCATTGGATCCCCACACAACCAAATGCAGTTCAAGTCCCAGCTTGCTTTCTCGCTTTCTCTCTCTCTCTCACTATGTCCCTCTCTGGTCAAATTGAAAATATACCTAACTAAATAAAATTTAATAAAATAAGAGAGAGAGAGAGAGAGAGGGAGGGAGGGAGGGAAAGCGAGAAAGCAAGCTACCAGGTCTAGAACTTGAACCGCAGTCGGCCATGTGGGAGTCCAGCACCCTTAATCACCATGGCACCTGCTAGCCCCTTCAATCTCAATTTTGTATGTGTGTGTATTTTTGGTTTTGGTTTTTTTTTTTTTTTAAGAGAGATTTTCACTGTAGGGCGCGTGCGCTCGCCAGACAGACAGAGAGAGACATAGAGACAGAAAGCGAGAAATCACCCCCCAGAGGGGATGGCCACGCCGCAATCCCTTCTCCTCCATTCTCCTCTCGGGATCTTGGGCACGCACGCACACGCACCCGGCGTGAGTTTTAAGCCACCGGATCCGGGACACGAACCGCGGTCGACTACGTGGGAGTCCAGCGACATAGCCATTACGCCAACTGCTGGCTCCGTGGTTTTTAATAATTGCCAAAGGGCATGTACGCTCACCAGAGGGAGAGAAGGCACCCTCTGAACAGGGCATGGTTACACCACAGTCCCTTCTCCATTTCTGCATACCATGCACACAAGCCTGGTGTTTCTTAAGCCACTTGGGCCAGGACTCAGACCGGGGTCAGCCAGGTGGGATCTGGCTCCCTTAACCACTTGGCTACAGGCCAGAGTCCAGCCCTAGCTTCGATTCACATAGCGGCTATTTTTTTTTTCATAGGTGATGCCACTGTTACAATATCCCATCGGTACACTCCTAAAGAGCAGCTGAAGAAACACACAATCCTTGCAGATATCGTGGTGTCGGCTGCAGGTACGAATACACAGAAGGCGGTGAGAGGACTTGACCTCCCGACAGTGAGGCTGTGCCTCTTACTTTCACAGCTTGCCTGCCCAACCGCCATTCCGTGCGTCACTCCCCTCATGGTGATAGTCTCGGCTGCTACGAAGATGAGAGGGGAGTGGAGGTTGGAATACTGGTTACGGCAGTGCAGGCTGGGTGGCCAGAGGGTATTCCAGAAGCCCGAAAAGGCTTCTTTTCTGTGTATGAAGTTTAAGGCGTTTCTTGGATGTTATGAAGAGTCTTCAGAACGTTTATGGAAAACATGTCTTATGAGAAAACTATGTGTGGATTTCAAGGTTTTTTTTTTTTTTTTGCACCAAAATATATGCTTGTAACTTTAATTAGATTTTCACAAACTCTTCGAAAATCTCCTTTTTTTTTAAGGTTTTTCTCTTTAAGGTTTTGCCCACTCACCACAGAGAGAGAGAGAGAAAACTCATCCCCCAGGTGGATGGCCACGCCATATTCCCTTCTCCTTTGTTCTCCTCTCGGGATTTTGGGCTTGCAGTGCACACATACCCAGTGTGAATTTCAAACCTCCGGGTCCGGAATTCAAACCATGGCCAGCTATGTGGGAGTCCAGTGCCTTAACCACCATGCCACCTGCTGCCCCTCTGCTTGTGTTTATTTATTTTGGTAGAGGGTAGGGGAGAGTGGGAAAAGCACCCCTGATGGGGAACAGTCACGCCACAATTCCTTCCTCTCTACCACGCCCCCCTTTGGGGATTACGGGCACACACATGTGCTCAGCGTACTTCTCACGCCATTGGGTCTGGAACGCGAACTGCTCAGTAGCCATGTGGGATCTGGTTGCCCTAACCACCCTGCCACAGAGCTGGCCCAGTACATTTTTATAAAACAAACCAGTCTTTGATGTCTGAGTTGAAATTAGACCAGGCTCTGTCAGGAGGCATCTTTTCAGTACTACGTTGAACCTCCCTGTCTTTTTCAGGCATTCCAAATCTGATCACAGCAGATATGATCAAGGAAGGAGCAGCTGTCATCGACGTGGGCATAAACAGAGTTCAGGACCCCGTAACTGCCAAGCCCAAGTTAGTTGGAGATGTGGATTTTGAAGGTAATAGTGTACATTTTTTGAAATACTAAATCAGTAAACATATTTAACTTTTTTTTAATGTCTTTTGCTATAGGGCACATGAGCTTGCCAGAGAGAAGAGAGAAATCACCCCCTAGGGAGGATGGCCATACCTCCTCCAGTCTCGTCTTGGGATTTGGGGCATATATGCACATGGGTCCAGCATGTTTTTCAAGCTGCCAGGTCTAGGACTTGAACTGGGGAGTTAGCCCCCTTGAACTGTGGGAGCTAGCACCTAACTTCTATGCAACCCGCTGGCTCGGCTTTAACTTTTAAACATGTCACGCTGGGAAAACGGTTTAAAATGCCTTGTTTGGGAAGTTATCTCTTTTTTCTTTAGACTTGTTTCATAATTGAAATAATGTCATGACTTTTAATAATAAGTCTGGAAATTTAATGAATTAATGAAGTGGTTTTCCAAAACCACTGAGTTTCCTAAAAAGTGTTAATGGATTTCTCATTTTCACATTAAGAGGGGTGATCATAGACCTAGAGGGTTGAAATCGTCTAGGAATATGTACTTTTTCTGGAATACTGGAATATAGTAGACTTCTCCTTTCACTTCTTTTTTTTTTTTTTTTTTTTTGCTATAGGGCACGTGTGCCCCTAAGAGGGATGACCACACCACAATCCCTTCTGTATTCTCCTTTTGGGATTTTGGGTATACACGCATATGTGCCCAGCATGGGTCTTAAGCCGCTGAGTCCAGGACTTGAACCACAGTTGACTATGTGGGAGTCCAGTGACATAACCATTCCACCATCTGCTGGCCCCTCCTTTCACTTCTTAAGATAGCGTGTTTCTCTGATTTTTTTAAAAAACAGTTATTTAATTTTATTCATCATTATTTTCTTTATTTTAACTTGACCAGAGAGAGAGAGAAAGCAAGCCACCAGGTCCAGACTCTATCTGCCATCAGCCATGTGAGAATTCAGCACCTTAACCACCTGCCAGCCCCGTGGTTCTCTGAATTTTGTACTGATGATCCTATTTCTCTATTTCTGTGGAAGCAGTCAGACCCAGACATAGGTTTAAGACATTAACGCTTTAAGGTTGAATTTTTAAATCTTACACTTGCTGGAAAATTACTTTCCTTGGTGCTTTGGGCAAATTATACTTAATATTAAGGAAATGTTGTAGGCAGGTACTAAGGTAATGTTTATTAAGTTTTACCTCCCACTTAACTGAGATTTTATTTATTTTAAGAATTATTCATTTAGGAGGAACCAGCAGTTACTGTAAGGGCTATGTCGCTGGATTCCCACGTAGTCGACCGCAGTTCGCGTCCCGGACCCAGTGGCTTAAAACTCACGCTGGGCGCGTGTGTGTGCGTGCCCAAGAGGAGAATGGAGGAGAAGGGATTGCGATGTGACCATTCCCCCTGGGGGGTGATTTCTCGCTTTCTGTCTCTATGTCTCTCTCTGTCTGTCTGGCGAGTGCATGCGCCCTATAGCGAAAATCTCTCCAAAAAAAAAAAAAAAAGAATTATTCATTTAGGGACCATTAGATGGCATAATAGTTATGTTGCTGGACTCCCACATAGTTGACCAAAGTTAAAGTCCCAGACTCAGTGGCTTAAAACTCAACGTCAGGTGCATGAGCATGTGTGCCCAAAATTCTGAGAGGAGAATGGAGGAGAAGGGATTGTGGGTGGCCATCCCGTCAGAGAATGATTTCTTGCTTTCTGTCTCTCTGTCTTTCTGGTGAATGCACATACCTTATAGCAAAAATCTCTGTTGAAAATATTTTGTTTATCATTGTTATTATTAATTTGACCAGAGAGAGAGAGCGAGCGAGGGAAAATGAGAAAGCCAGCTGCTAAGTCTCAGTCTGCAGTTGGCCATGTGGGAGTCTGTCACCTTAACCACCACACCACCTGCTGGTCCTCACAACTGAGCTTTTTGTTTCTTTGGGTTTTTGCCATAGGATGCGTGCGCTGACCATCAAGACAGGAGGTGAGAAATCACCCTCTAGGGGGAATGACCATGCTGCAATCCATTTTTCTCAGGATTTTAGGCACAAACGTGTGCACATGTTCCCGGCATGAGTTTCAAGCCACCAAGGCCAGGACTTGGACTATGGTCAACCACGTGGGAGTTCTGTGCTTTAATTAGCATGCTGCCTGCTGACCTCCGTGACTGAGTTTCGTGTGTGTGTGTGTTTAACTTAATATGGAGGAAAGTATGGCTCTTAAATGATAGGTTATTTAGACATACAAATATTCATTGAACGGTTGCTTATATGCATGTTGTTTCATCTATGTCTTTAAAAATCTTTACTCTTGAGTTAGATGTGATTTTTTTTTTTAATGAGTTCAAGGTTTACAAAGATGCTTATGTGCAAATTGCTTTTCCTTTGAATGTTCCTTTCATACCATGTTAAAGTACTTACACGTCCTTTGCCATGGCTGAAGCAGCCTCGTCTGTCTAATTTCTCTGTAGGAGTCAAGAAGAAAGCTGGCTACATTACTCCAGTCCCCGGGGGTGTGGGACCCATGACAGTGGCTATGCTAATGAAGAATACCATTATCGCTGCAAAGAAGGTGCTGAGGCTTGAAGAACGGGAAGTACCGAAATCTAAAGAGCTTGGAGTAGCCACCAACTAACTGTGTCTTCAGTGTCATGAACAGGCCAGTTCAAGGAGCAAAGCAGGCCAACAGAAATGCAATACTTTTTATTTATTCTACTGAAACGGTTTCGAATGATGCTTTGTATTTATTAAAAGCTAAATGGGTAGGTGTTGGCGCACATGGCTCTGCGGTACCTCACTGGGGACCTCTCCAGGATCGTGGTGGGCCCTGCGATCTCACCAAGAGCAGCCATTGGCCTGGGGTTAATCAACATGGGAGACATGGTCACGCTGAGGAAACGGATGCCTTGTCGAGCCTCTTCAGTTAAAAATCTGCCTTTTCTAGGCGTGCATTTCCCAAGTGCTATTCCAATAATGTTGACACTCATTGGAGATTCCAAGCCTTTTGAGTTCAACTGGTCAAACCAAAGGAACACTGTTTGTAGAGAAATTTAGGGCAAGGATACAAAGGAAGAAGAGGTGGTAATTGGGTGAGAAAAAAGGTACCCTCTTTATATACAGATAAGCAGGTTTATCTAAACAGAACGGAATTCACGAGGAGAAAAGAAAACCCCCGTGTAATAGTATCCCTAACCTGTCCTTTTGTGGCTTCGTCATTGGGCAGCTGTGGAGGGTCAGTCCATTTGCTGTGAGCCCTAGTTTTATGTATGTCCCCCTCAGTGAGGTCTTCCCATTTTAGTTTTCTAGGATCGAAGGCTTATTTTATAAATTATTTATGTGTGTTATAAATTGGCTTTTGCTATATCCTTTATTGTTAATTTTTTTCTATTGTTAGGAGTGTCTTATGGTTTCTTTGGTGTGTCTTGAAACCCATTATATTTTTAAGAAATGGAACTTGGGCTTGATCATCTTTAGGGCAGCTTGTATACATATGCAACTTATTTTTCCACCAAAGAATTGACAGCTGCTGTCTGCTTTCCTCTGATGTACCTTGTTGGCTTCCTCAAAAGATTTTTCAGAGCTTGAGTTCATAATGAATTTAATCAGATTTTCTGATGAAAGGTTTTTTTGTTTTTGTTTTTTAATAAAACACATCTGTCTGGTGTGGAATGAATTTCTGAAATATTGTCTTCCTTCTACTCGATTAGTTGTGACCTAACCAGAGTTGATTTTTTTACACTGGATATAATCAAGCTAGGTAGCCCTATATCTGTGGTGACAGTCCTGTCACCTTAAACAAACAGGTGTAAAGAGCTCTGGAGAAATCAGCCCAGTCCTTTTTAGGCATATATCCCAACGGGTTGTGTGCGCCAAGCCAAGAGCTGAACACTCGGACTCATTTAAGTGACTAGTCTTGTTCTGAGTATTTTCTAAACCATATTTTAATTTCTACATTGCTGCAAAGGCTTTCCCTGTGAAGTTCTCACCAACTCGCCCTCTTTAGCTACCACCGCCATTGTGCACGTGTGTGTATGCGCGTGCGTGCGTGTGCGTGTGTGTTTAAAGCATTAGTTTGATTTGACAGATTGGAAGATGTTTGCTATACATATCTTTTTTGTTTTTTAAAGACTTATTTTACTATTATTTTTTAATTGCAATGTTTAAAAATAATTATTTTAATTTAACTTTTATTTATTTTAATTTGAACAGAGAGAGAGGGGGGAAGTAAGAAAACAAGTTGCCAGGTCTGGGACTCGAACCACGGTCAGCCATGTGGGAGTTCAGCGCCCTTAATCACCATGCCACCTGCCGGCCCCAAGAATTATTTTATTTAACTTATTTTTTATTATTTTGCAGTTTGATCAGAGAGAGAGAGAGAAAGTGAGAACACAAGCTGCCAGGTCTGGGACTTGAACCATGGTCATCCATTTGGGAGGCCAGAGCCTTTAACCACCACACCACCTGCCAGCCCCGCCCATACATACCTTGAGGCGCAGATCAGTCCCTGTACGTTCTCAACCAGAACTGTGTGTTTTGGCTTTTGCACAGACAGCTCTTGCCGTAGGCAGCCTGAGGCAGAAAGGAAAGGAACACGCAGGTCTGACCTACCCCTTCTGTGTTCCTCTGCCTGCTTGCTTTACGCTTTCGATAGTTTCCTAGAGATGAAAGAAGAAGGACGGTTTGTTGAAGATGTTAATTGCAAGTGAGGTGTACAGCGCATGTCCGTAAGCCATGCCCTGCTTTTATTTCCCTGCCAATTATTAGACAGGGAACAAGGTGAACAGAGGATTGTTTTATTGAATTATAGTTACATTGCCAGTGGAAAAACTTACTAATCGCATGAAGAAGTAACCATATGTCAGCCTGTTAAAAGCTACAGAAATGAAAACGTTCATGTATATACAAAATAGACATGAAGTATAAGGTAAAAATTACAGTGATCAATTTACAACAACAAATTAGCATCTTAGTTTTCCAGCTCGTTTGATTAGCACATTTACTCATGACTCCTTTACATTTCTACGTTTAACTCGTGCTATCCCGAATCAGCCTGGCTTTAACACTGGAACGTTCAGAGCAGACGTCAGCTCTGAGCTTGGCGCGAACGAAGAGAGCCAATCTATGATGAAGCTCGGGTGATGGTTCTGGGTGAGTGAATAACAGGGATTCTATCAGCGAGAGCAGTAGAGGCTTCGAGTTTTACCTCTTGGCAGTATCCCTCGGAAGGGAGCTCTGAGAGTAAATGTAATGAACACCCATTGAGAGTTTTTCGCAGAACACTACACGAGGCTCAGAGGGTGACAAAGACAGCCACCTGCTACGGTATTCAAGGGCTTAGTGATCTTGTATCATTTGTCTGAGAAGCAAAAAAAAAAAGCACCTGCGTTTGTCATCTTGAGTAAATATCGTAACTGACCAAAAGGACTTCCCAAAGACCCAATTCCATCGCAGTTTGGGAGAATGTAAGTGTCGGATGCATCACGGCTATCAGGCACTTAGTAAGTGTTGAATAAATAAACATGGTTTGGTGTTTTGTTAAATGATTTGAAGATAAAATGACTCAAATTTTATGCCAAAAGGGCCTACTTCAATAATAACTGGTGTTTGTATCTATCCAAACTGCTTATAATCGTTCCTCTGAAACAGTCTGGTTAATATTGCAAAGACACAGTCTCCCAAAATGTGACACTGGCTCTGCCTCCCATGTTATTCATGTTCATGTGAATGGGAGTCTACTTTGGGAATCAGCCGTTGAGAATGTTCAGGAAGGGCCTATCCAAATATATAAACTTGATTCCAGGTGTGAAAAAGCAGTGATATTTATTTAAAGGATTATTTTGTGAAGAATTTAATTTTTATTTATTACTTATTTTTTTAGTTGCTATAGGGCACATGTACTCATCATAGAGAGATGGAGAGAGAGAAAGGGGAAGTGAGAAAGCAAGCTGCCAGATCTGGGACTCGAACTGTGGTCAGCCATGTGGGAATCCAGAGTTCCAACTACCATGTCTTCTGCCATCCCCAAGGACCCATTGTGTTTTTAAAAACATCTATTAAAATGTGTGGTTCTTTCACTGAAGGACTTTGGAACTGAATTTTTTAATCTGGAAAAGCCCCCAGCCACACTCTGGGGTAAGGCCCACAATGTAGGTGGTTTCAACTTTACGTAGAACTTCAGAAGTTCGGAAAATGGAATGAGGTGGAGAGAAAAGGTCCTTTCAGTGTTTCTTAGTACGCACAACTGTAAAACACATATTCCAACCTTGGCCTACTAACGTAAGAAAATTTTTAACTGTTCTTTCAAACCATCTAGATTTAAATCTAATCTTTTTAAAAATCTTAATTGGTAGTTGTTTGAAATATAAATTGACTATTATCTCTTTATCCTAGCTATGGAAAACAAGCGTTTCTTTTTTTTTCATTTCAAAAGAAATGTCTATGCGGGACTGCATTATAAAATAGGTATTAACATTGAGCTTTAGGTGTTTTAATGACTACAAAAGAAAGGGAGAACTCTGCCTCTAAGAAGTACTTTTTATCGAAGGAGCTCCAGTGTTCTAGCAGGCAGGACTCCCGCTGGTGAAGAAGGAAATAGGCACAGAGCAGTGAAGAGTTTGACCCAGACCGTCCTTAGACGGAGCCAGGCCCTCCCGTGTCCTGGATCGGGAGCAGCCGTCCGTCCTAGAGGGTGGTCTCAGCGTCCGCGTCTCTTCCATATTTGTTCACGTCTGTGAAGTCATAGTCCGACTCCATCTCGATCTTCACCTGCGGCACCATGAACACTGGGCTCCGGGAGTAGTTGAAAGCAGGCGAAGTCGGACAAGAGATTTTGAAGTGCAAGGTGATGCTGGATAAGAAAAAAGAATGATTTGCAAGTTTTTGGTGTTTTCAACAGTATCTTCCATGGCAGAACTCCCAAGTTTTATCTTTGCTATAAACTTTTTAAAAAAAGGTTTCTTTGGGACCAGTAGTTAGTGTAATGGCTGTCACTGGATTCCCATGTAGTCAACCGCGGTTCGAGTCCCGGGCCCGGTGGCTTATACTCAAGCTGGGCACGTGTGCGTGCGTGCCCAAGATCCCGAGAGGAGAATGGAGAAGGGATTGCAGTGTGGCCATCCCCCCTGGGGGGTGACTTCTCACTTTCTGTCTCTCTGTCTCTTGTGAGTGCATGCACCCTATAACAAAAACTTCTCCAAAAAAAAAAAAATGGTTTCTTTAAAAATTTGTCAGGGGGATGGGAGGTGGCATGGTTAAATGTACTGGACTCCCACACGGCCAACCACAGTTCGAGTCCTGGACCTGATGGCTTGCTTTCTCACTCTCCCTGTCTCTCTCTGGTCAAATTAAGAATAATAATAATAAATGAAGTCAAGTAAAATAATTTTTAAAGAAATTTGTCAGGGCCAGCAGGTGGTAGGGTGGTTAAGGGCGCTGGATTCCCACATGGCCAGCCAAGGTTCAAGTCCTAGAACTGGTGGCTTGTTTTCTCACTTTCTCTCTCTGTCCCTCCTGGTCAAATTTAAAAATAAGTAAATAAAGTTAAAAAATAAATTTATCGGGGGACCAGTAAGTGGTGTGGTGGTTAACATGTTGGACTCCCACATGGCCAACCACAGTTCTAATCTTGGACCTGGTGGCTGGAAAATCACACTGGGCACATGTGCCCAAAATCCTGAGAAAAATGGAGGAGAGGAGATTGGGGTGTGGCCATCCTCACTGGGGGTGGGAGGTGGGGGGCTGTTTTGGTTTTTTTTTTTTTTTTGGAGGGGTTTTTGCCGCGTGCGCTTGCCAGACAGACAGAGAGAGACATAGAGACAGAAAGCGAGAAATCACCCCCCAGGGGGGATGGTCACGCCGCAATCCCTTCTCCATTCTCCTCTCGGAATCTTGGGCACGCATGCACACGCATCCAGCGTGAGTTTAAGCCACCGGCTCCGGGACGTGAACCGCGGTCGACTACGTGGGAGTCCAGCGACATAGCCGTTACGCTAACTGCTGGTTCCCGAGGGGGGCTGTTTTCTTACTTTCTCTTTGTTTCTCTCCAGTGAGCACACATGCCCTACTGCAAAAAAAAAAAAAAAAATCAGAGGATGTGTGTACTCACCAGACAGAGGGAGGGAGAGAAAGCACGACCACACTGCAGTCCTTTCCTCTGTGTGTGGTTTCCTCTGTGTGTGGGATTTTGGGCGCGCACACACACACACATGCTCAGTATGTTTTGCAAGCTGCAGGTTGAGGACTTGGACCACATGATTAGCCATGTGGGATCCAGCTACCTAAACCACGAGGTCACAGGTGGCCCTCTTATAAGCTGTGGCCTATCTGCTTGGCCTTCGGCTACACGTAGCTGGTCCTGTCCTGTTTCAACCTTTTTTTTTTTTTTTTTTGACTTGCTCTAGGACATGTGTGCTCACTGAAAAAAGGTTGTGAGAAATCAGGCCCCTGGGGCATGGTCGTGCCACAGTCCCTTCCCCATTTCTCCCCCTTTTGAGATTTTGGGTTGAACTCATTCTACGTGTCTCCTTCTGCCATTGTGGTAACAGCTCTGCCCCCTAGTTCAGAAGCCCCTGTGTTCCCTAAGAAAGCTCTTGGCCCAGTGCCGTCTAGGACTGGAGCTTGATCTGCCTCTAGTCGGGGAGTCTGCTCTTCCCGCACTTTCTATTTCGTTTTCCTTTTCTGAGCTTTGCTGATTAATGCTGCTGTCACTCCACAGAGTCTTTGTTCTAAAGTTGAATACCTTTGTGTCATCACCCTAATATATCAGTAAAGGGGGCCAGCAGGTGGCGTGGTGGTTGAGGTGCTGGGCTCCCACATAACCGACCATGGTTCAAGTCCTGGATCTGGCCGCTTGCTTGCTTTTCTTTTTTTTTGAGAGGTTTTCGCTATAGGACGCGTGCGCTTGCCAGACAGAGAGAGACATAAAGACAGAAAGCGAGAAATCACCCCCCCAGGGAGATGGCCACACCACAATCCCTTCTCCTCCATTCTCCTCTCGGGATCTTGGGCACGTATGCACACGCGCCCAGCGTGAATTTTAAGCCGCTGGGTCTGGGACTCGAACTGTGGTTGACTACGTGGGAGTCCAGCGACATAGCCATTACGCTAACTGCTGGTCCCTGGCCGCTTGCTTTCTCACTCTCCCTTTCTCTCAGTCTGTCTCTGGTCAAAATGGAAGAATAATGGTAATAAACTTTTTAAATTAAAAATAAAATCCTTTAAAAAAAGATACCGGTGGGGAACCAACAGTTAGCATAATGGCTATGTCGCTGGACTCCCACGTAGTCGACCGCGGTTCGTGTCCCGGACCCGGTGGCTTAAAACTCACGCCGGGCGCGTGTGCGTGCGTGCCCAAGATCCCGAGAGGAGAATGGAGGAGAAGGGATTACGGCGTGACCATCCCCCCTGGGGGGTGATTTCTCGCTTTCTGTCTCTATGTCTCTCTCTGTCTGTCTGGCGAGCGCACGCGCCCTACAGTGAAAATCTCTCCAAAAAAACAAAAAAACCAAACAAACAAAAAAAAGATACCGGTAAATATGAATTTGTTACTTGACCAACAATAACCAGGCCCCTCAGGCTGTCTCCTTTGTCTTGTGGTGGGCCAGCAATGGCCTTCTACCAAGTCATCGGCTAGCCTGGGAATTCCTAGTCCCCCAACCCCCAGACCTGCTTGGTCTCTTATCTAATACCTGAGGGGATTAGACTAGTAATGCCCTTTACCTTCGATCCAGTTCCGAGTCACTGAAGGATGAATCAGAGTGAGTAACTCCAACTGGAAGATCTTTTTCCTGACAGGAAGATTAGGATGTCAGTGGAGCTCTGAGAACAACACCGGAGAACGCCCTTCTCCAGTGTTAACCACCCCTCCTCCCCGGACAGCACTACACTGAGGAAGACAGGCCTCAGCGATGGGGCTTCTGCTCAGTTATCCCTTCATCCAGAAGGCTCTAAGCAGGGCTGGGAGGGGGTGAGGCATGGGACGGCCAGGGAAGAGTGAGAAAGGGATGGGAAGGCCCAGCGGGAGTCGGGAAAGAACTGGGAGATGTGCGGGAGCCTGGGGTGGAGGCGCCAACCCTGCTGAGCCCACCAGCACACTTAACGGGCTTTTGTATGCTTCTTCCAACACAGCTCCCCTGAAGGTACTGGTGGGATTTCCTGGCTGCTTATCCCTAGTCTGGGTCCTTGAGGAAAGTGACAAGCCCTTTATTAGAAGTGCCAGGGTCTGGAATCAGTGTGGGCTTTTTGAGCAGACGCCCAGCACAAGCCACGTTGTCTCAGTGACAGGGCCGTCGATAGGAAGCTGAGGCTGGGTGGCGTTAACGGCAGCACTGGACTCTCCCAGGGCCTTGGTCAGTGGTGCCGGATGCCTCCCCGGTGTCCTCCCTTTGGAGGATGGAAGGGTCACAGCCTAACCCATGGAGTCTCAGTTCTGCCTCTTCTACGATCTGAACGTGCCTGCTTCTCTAACGGGGACAGCTCAGGTCTGATTCAGCTCTCGGTCATTTCAACCTTGCGGAACACGGAGGCTCCGCGGGCCACCTTTGACTGGCGTGAAAGGATGCAGGGGGACAGCCGGGCAGAGCCATAGGCATCTGGGGCCCCCAAATTAAAATGAAGATTGGTTGCTAGAGTCTGCAGGGTTTGCTTTGGGGTCAGCGATCCAGTCCTCAGGCCCAGTCCCCTTCCATCTCGCGACACAGCCATGCCCCCACGTTACAGACAGACGTTCCTGGGGTGAGAGGTTAGTAAGCAGGGAGGAGAGACGTGTGCTTTACTTACTGGCAATGCAGTGGATACCATTTTGGGGATCTGACTGGACACTTTCCATGGGAATCTTTATAACTGAGGGAGGAGGGAACTGGGGCTGGAGAAAAACAGTGGGAAAAGCTGATAAACACCACCAATCCAACAGCCTTGGCTTTCTCACCAAGGTGGGAAATGCATGCTGACAGTGTGCGCCACAGTCCTCTTCACGTCCACACTAAACGGGGTGCTGGGAACACCGGGAAACTGGGGGAACTGGCAGTGAGTCCCACGTCCGGATGTGCCACTGGACAGGACCGAGCTCTGCCAGGACTGTTACCCATCAGGACAGCTGGGTCTGTCACAGTCACCAGTCACTTGGGAATGAAGCTCACATAATAGCTGTGTTGTTGTAACAATGCATAAAGTGAACTTGTGTAAATGGAACCCTATTTAGTCATTGAAATACATCATGTCAGCCAGAGGTACTTTTGCTGAACAGTGGAGTGGTTCCTGGTACATGGGAGCCACTCAAATATTTATTGAATGAATTGATTCAAGAATAAGTATTTGTGGGAACCAGCAGTTAGCGTAATGGCAATGTCGCTGGACTCCCACGTAGTCAACCACGGTTCACGTCCCGGACCCGGAGGCTTAAAACTCACGCCGGGTGCGTGTGCGTGCGTGCCCAAGATCCCGAGAGGAAAATGGAGGAGAAGGGATTGCGGCGTGACCATCCCCCCTGGGGAGTGATTTCTCGCTTTCTGTCTCTATGTCTCTCTCTGTCTGTCTGGTGAGCGCACGCACCCTATAGCGAAAACCTCTCCAAAAAAAAAAAAAAAGAATAAGTATTTGTTGGGCCAGCAGGTGGCATAGTGGTTAAGGTGCTGGACTCCCACCTGGCCAACCACAGTTCAGGTCCTGGACTAGATGGCTTGCTTTCTCGCTTTCTCTCCCTGTGTCCCTGTGTCTCTCTGTCTCTGTATCTCTCTGGTGAGCAATGTGCCCTTTAGCAAATTAAAAAATAATAAATAAGGAACCAGCAGGTGGCTCAGAGGTTAAAGGCACTGGACTCCTACATGGCCGACCATAGTTCAAATCCTGGATCTGGTGGCTTGCTTTCTCACTCCCCCCGTCGCTCTCTCTCACGTGTGCATGCACTCTGTCCCTCTCTGGTCAAATTAAAATAAATAAATAAATAAAGTTAAATAAAATAATTCTTCCAAAAAGTTAATTAAATTAAATCTTTGGGGGCTGGTAGATGGTGTGCTAGACTCCCACATGGCCAACTGTAGTTCAAGTCCCAGACCTGGCAGCTTGCTTTCTCACTTTCCCTCTCTCTCTCTCTCCCTCTCTAAAATAATAACAATTAACTAAAATAATTCTTTTAAAAAAATGAAATCTTCAAGGGGGCCAGCATGTGGTGTGGTGGTTAAGGCACTGAACTCCCATATGGCTGACCATGGTATGAGTCCTGGAACTGACGACTTGCTTTCTCACTTTCCCTCCCTCTCTCTTTCTCTCTCCATCTCTTTCTGGTGAATTTAAAAGAATAATAATAAATAAATATTTTTTAAAAAATGAAACCTTTGGGTGTCAGCAGGTGTAGTAGTGGTTAAGATGCTGGATTCCCACATGGCTACTGCAGTGTGAGTCCGGGCCCAGAGGCTTGAAACTCATGTCAGGTGCATGTGCATGTGTGCCCACAACCGAGAGGAGAATGAAAGACAGGGGACTGCAGCGCGGCCATTGCCTCTGGGCTTGATTTCCCACTTTCTGTCTCTCTGTCTCTCTCGTAGTGCACACACCCTAAAGAAAAGAAAGAAAGAGAGAAAGAAAAAAACCTCTCTTAAAAATAAATTAATTAAATTAAATATTAAAAAAAAAGAATAAGTATTTGTTTTAAAGAAGGGATTAGCCTCTTTCTGTTTTCAGAACCTATCATTACAAATCAACTACAAAAATAAAAAATGTAATGAATCATGCGAGTCTCCTTCCTGGGAGAGGACAGCAATTAAGGACAAGTTTGAGCAATCACTACCATCGGAAGATGGTTGCATCGCCACCAGCCATCAGTAAGGATTTGCCAATGAACAGCTTTCATTTGCAAAAGGCAAGATCACCAGGAGCCAGCGCAGGGTGGATAAGGGCATGCGAGTTTGGGGCAGATCGGGAGAATGGGGGCCAGACATGGCGTCAGGAGGTGGCACAGACACTGTAGCACTGGACAACCAACACAAAGTTGGGAGTGATTTCAGTTCCCCGTTAGACACTGCGGTGTGCCCAGCCTTTCAGAGGACAGGCTCGTCACCTTCGTGAGCACCTGAACCACATCTTCCTAACATTTCCGGATTTACTGTTGTTTCTGGAGTGTCTCCTTGTCTCTGATTTCCAGCGTGTTTTGTGGATGGGAAGGAAGGGAGCGTGGGAGTACTGTGGTAGAGAAGGCCACCATGTGGTCGCAGGCATGTGGGAAATGTAGCCACTGTCCTTTCAGAGAAGACACATGCCTCTTCCCCCACCTCTGCCCTAGGGACAGGCCCAAGCAAAGGCTGTCCCTAACCCATCCTGTGTCCGGTCTGCTGAGGTGTCCCATCAGACCCCTCTCCCCAGGCCCACGCCATTCTTCTGAGGTTGGTCCTCATAACCTCCTTCCATGTTGCAGCTGTCCATCCCGTCCCCTCAGGGGACCTCACCGCTGAGGATGATGTTCCCAAGGGTCCACAATAAGGGGAAGAGTCACCATGGTCAATCACCTTTGCCTTGGGCTGAGAGGCCCGCTCACTCTGGTGATATTCGCATGGACGGACAGGTTCTCAGCACCCCAGCAAGACAAGCAGAAGGCTCAGCTCATCCTAGACTGAGCCCAGGCACTGTGGCGGCCACCAGACACCCCTCCCTGTTTCTGGAGGAAGTGGAGGGAGGGTTTCTCAACCTCTGGCCTCTGTCCAGGCCTCCCTACTTTCCTACCTCCTCATCACTGTCGTCATGGGCCCCTTTCCTTCTCTTCTTCTTCTTGTCTGTCTCCTTCTTCTCCTTCTCCGGGAGGATGTTGTCAATCCAGGCCAGGTCATGCTGGGAGAAGATGAAGTCCAGAAGCCTTCGAACGATGATGAGGCCCAGGATCTGTGGTGGAAGACACAGAGGCTGATGTTTGGCGTACGTTCAGAGAAAACTGTGGGCTCAATGTCACACCCTGGGCATGGCCACCTGCCCCTCGCCCCCACCCAGTTAGCTGAATTCCAGGACTTTTTGTGGTCGGTGTCTGGAGCCACCTCAGTCTGCTGCCCACAAACCATGGCCCACCTGCTCCCCACCTTGGTTCCTCTCAGCTGGTCTTTCTTTTGTTGAGTGACCATAAGTAACTACTGGTGACTGAGAGGGACAGAGCCTGTGACAGTTTAAGTGGGGCACCAGGACAGAGACCATCAATTAGAGAATAATTAGTTCTTCTTCTTCTTCTTTTTTTTTTTTTTAAGAATTATTTATTTAATTCGATTTGTTATTATTATTTTTTTAAGTTGACCAGAGAAAGACAGAGAGACAGAGGGAAAGTGAGAAAGCAAGTTGTCAGGTCTGGGACTTGAACCGCAGTCAGTCACGTGAAATTCCAGCACCTTAACCACCACACCACTTGCCAGCCCTGAGAACTAGTTATCCTTTAAACCAGTGATTTTCAAACAAGTACGCATCAGGCTCACCCAGAGAACTTGTTAGTATGCACTTGGTTGGGTGCGTCCCCTAGTTTCTGATTCATCAGGCCTGGGGTGGGGCCAGAGACCACAGCTCTAACGTACTTCTAGGCTGATGCTGACGCTGTCAGGCTGGGAGCACCTCGAGCCCCACTCCCCCCCCCCCCCCCCCCCCCCCGGGGCATCTCTGAGAGTGCTAACCTCTCACCAAGCCTGATGAAGTATACTCTGATACTGGGGTTTTAAAAGGAAACATTTAGAGGGACCATTACAACCAGCATGGTGCAATGGTTACGTGGCTGGACTCCCACATGGCTGACTGCGGTTCAAGTCCCGGACCTGGTGACTTGAAACTCACACCATGTGCGTGCCCAAACTCCCGAGAGGAAAATAGAGGAGAAGGGACTGTGGCATGGCCATTTTCCCTGGGGGGGGGGGGCGTGTGATTTCTCACTTTGTTTCTCTGTCTCTGTCTCTCCAGCGAGTGCACACACCCTATAGCAAAAACCTCTCAAAATAATAACAATAATAAGGAAAATCTAGAACATTTGATTATGCTCAGAATGAACAAATTAAAGTTAGGAGCAAAAAGTACCACAGACAGCTCCCACTCATTCTTACTGCTCTTTGGGAAAGATGAAAGGGTACATGTACTCACGAGAGACAGAGAGAGAGAGAGAGAGAGAGAGAGAGAGAGAAAGCAAGCTGCTGGGTCCAGGACTTGAACTGTAATCTGTCAAGTGGGGGTCCAGCACCTTAACCACCACACCACCTGCTGGCCCCCATATCCAGTTATTTTAAGTGGGATAAGGTTTGTATTTAGTACACTTCTACTTCTTTTTTATTTTTTTATTTATTTATTTTTTTTGAGAGAGGTTTTCGCTATAGGGCGCGTGCGCTCGCCAGACAGACAGAGAGAGACAGAGAGACAGAAAGCGAGAAATCACCTCCCCGGGGGATGGTCACGCTGCAATCCCTTCTCCTCTATTCTCCTCTCGGGATCTTGGGCACTCACACACACGCGCCCAGAGTGAGTTTTAAGCCACCGGGTCTGGGATGCGAATCATGGTCGACTACATGGGAGTCCAGCGACATAGCCATTACGCTAACTGCTGGTTCCCAGTATACTTCTACTTCTGAGACCAGCTGCAAGTTAGGCGGTGCAGAACTCGGCCGTGGGGTGAGTGTCCAGCTCCTTAGCCCCTGCCCAAAGTCTGGAGGCTGGTGGCTTTTGAGTCGTCCTTCCCATGACCGGGAAGATGATGGCGGCCACCGTGGACTTGAGGATCCAGAGCACCGCCAGGCAGAGGATCTGCACCAGGGTGAAGAGGTGGATCCGCCGCAGGGGGACGTGCCGCAGGAAGGCGTGGTCGGGCTGGTGCTTGGCTGGCATCAGGAAGAGCTTGCAGCGGTCCCAGAACTGGAGAGGACAACCTGGGGCTCAGTCAGGTAGCTTGGCCTGGGGCTGGTGTGGGGGCTGCTGGGGCCTGGGACTGGCAGGGTGCCACAGTGGGGCCTCTAGGGATCCCAGGATCACGCTTTAGCAGGTGTACAGGAGAGGGGCTGGAGGAGTCCAAGCAGATGTATAATGGGATCTTAGGGAGGGGCTCCTGGGCCCAAGGAAAACGCACACTATCCTCCACACTACTGTTCCAGACATCCGAGGGGTTCACAGGAAATACAGAACAAAACCAAAGGAGCTGCCTTCTCCTGCGCAGCTGCTTCAGGGAAGAAAGGAGACGTCTGGAAATGCTCTTTGGAGTCAGCTCAATGAGGTTTTGGATTCTGAGCCTCTTACAGAGAGGGGTCGGGCCTACTGATACAGACTGCCTTGTGCTGTGTTGTAACGTACGTGTAGTTGTCCGGGGCACATCCCACACAGCCTCTTACTACTATCGTTCTTTCTCTGAGCGGGAAAGTGAAGTGGACCTCCATTTTCAACTCCTCTCTATATTGGAAACTTGCTTTCTCCTTTTGCCTAAACAGAGTGATGAACACTCCTAGCATCTTTGCTAAATAACCCAGAAGTCCCTGCCCGAAGACGTTCCTTAGTGATGTAATCGTCAGTCCCCAGACCCCTTGCCCTGAGCGATGAAGACCATTAAGATTCCATTGTGTTTGGGGAGGGAGGGAATCGTATCCTTAGGAATGATTAACCTGCTTGTTTCCCTTCTGTAATTCGCTTTTGTTTTCACACTGTGAAACCCTCACGCCCTACCCTTTCAAGCCTACTGCATTTTGTTTTTGTGAATCACCCTGTCATCCCGGAAAAGATTGAGACTTCATCCAGAAAAGACTGAGATTTTTGCCTCCTAAACCCCCTTCTCCCTACACTCCGGGCTGTGAGGTTTTGAGAGACATGAGTCCCCTGTAGGCCACCGGCTTAATCAATAAACTCCACACATCCTGGCTGTGTCTGGTGTCCTCTCATTTCTCGTTGAGTAGACTATAACAGAAGGAAGCATTTGAGATCTCAGTGAGGGAACCAGACCTGGAGTGTGAGGGTCAGAGCAGCCTGGGGAAGGGAGGACCTTACCTGGATGCCGTTCAGGGAAGCCACGCCCATGTAGAGGAAGACGCCATACAGCACAGGCAGGGGGATGTACTGAAAGGAGAGCAGAGCTTTGCACCGGCCTCTGCCCAGGACTGACCGGCCACCTGTCCTGGACGACAGTACCTGCCAGCCCAGAGCAGCTGGGGAGCTGGGGGTCTGGAGGAGCTGCAAGTCCGAGGGCAGACCGAGAGGTAGGGCGTGGGTGGGAGATGAGGGCCGCTGAGGCTCCCCTGCCCCTTTCCAGAACTAGGCTACCTGGTGCAGCCTGCAGATGCTCTGGCCCGGCCTCTCTGTGGGCCCTGCGGAAGCCAGGTGGTCTGGCTGCAGGGACTCCTGGAAGGTGGGAAAGTACCACTGCCCCCTACTCCTTCCTGCCCACCCCTTCCCACCTCCAACCTCAGGGACAGGCCCCCTGCCAAATCCGG